TCAAAATTGCGAGCTTTAATTCCCGAAAAAGGAAGTCGACCATCCGTTGATGATAAAACATTTGACAAAATTTTGGAAAAGGTTTTTTTCTTTACAAAAATTATGACGCAAAAAGTTCATTTTTAAAGTCCATACTTATTAGAAATAATTTTTTCAGTGGTGTGTATACATTTAATTGGTAGCAGGTATCAAGTAGAAGTATGCAGTCTGAAATGCAGAGGCCTGGCATAGCTATGCTCAACGTCTAGAATCATTTCACTGAGATTACCTGCGTAGGATCTTTTCATCGATTGTAGAATAGCCGGTGGAAATTGGAAAAAATTGTACGTCGCCCATGATAGTAGCGTTAGATAGCATAAAGTGACGCACGTGTGAGTGGCTAAAATACAGATGCAATATGTTGCAGCTGTCCAGTTGAGCACATCTGAGCACAAGGGCCGGTAGTGTAGTGGATAACACGTCGCGATTTGAGGAATCTGGACACCGTGGAGGTGGGAGGTTCGATTCCCCATCGGTGCACTCTTTCTTTTGCAAAGGGGTTTCTGTCCGGGACAACGATTTATCTGAGTAGCAATGATATTCTTGTTTCAAGTCAGATGATTTTACAAATCTGATGATCCAAATTTATCGCTAATAATATTTTTGGATATTTTGTAGGTTATGATGGACTGATGGTTAGGGATAAAAAGCAAGGTTGGGACCAAAAATGTTGTGTTAAGGGGCCTGACAGAAATCCCAGTGTTCTTAACAGACATGTTCAGTTGTTACGCTGAATATTCTCCTTCTCTGCTCTGTTTCAGGTGGCAACCTATTGTGAGCCGGATCAGGGCAGCCAAATTGAACAGGGATTGTACACGTTAACAACGGCAACGTGGCGACATCATTTTGATCCGGCATTTTGCAGAATGCGTGCAACGACAGCACGTGAATATAGCGACGCTTTGCTACGTACCGAAAAAATGTAATACTTTCGAGATATATATTTCTAATATTTGAAATATAAAATTTTCGAGTATTCCCGGCGCAATATTTGAATTTAGTAATGGGTTTCTGGGGTCAACCTGGTCGCTACAATCGGCTTGTTTAGTGTAGTTAACTTTCGTCTTTCGAGATCGTACTGAACGGATTCTGATTTTTGCAGCTCACTGCGCAACTTGGTGATTTTTTAACTAAAATCACCCTCTTTCTTCTTCGCTCTGTATTAACTTTCTGTGAGAGACCAATGCAGTCAGAAATAGCTGGATGAGTAACACGCGCCAGAAGGCAGCCGACCAGTTGTCGATGGCTTCTTCTTCCGGGAGTTGCTCAAGAAAAAGTTGATGACGAGTTTGCTTTCCTAGCATGCACCAGTACCAGCCTACCATCGAATCTAACGAAAAATACTTAGTTATCGATTTAGCGGAACCGAATTCTCGGCCCTACCGCAGTATAAAACGGAAGTACTAGCTACTGTGCTTTTTTTTCAAAATCTTTACTTTTTTTGGTTTTGGGGTCGAGCAAATTTTAGCTTTTTTTTTTCAGAGAACGCGATTTATTGCTGAAGCAATCACCGGGCAATCGTTCCTGTGATCATTTATGGATCCCGTATCGCCTCTTCTCATTCAGCACTGAATGGGATGCTCGTTGCGGTAGATTCCTCGTTTCGCCGTCATTTTTCAAGCTAATGCATCAGATTATTTACATTGTAAGCTTCGATTTTTAGCTTTTTATTAAGTATGAGTGGTGTTGCGACTATATGTAAATCCAGCTTTTTTTTCTGACGAAAACGGATGTGTGGATTACCGGTAATAGATAACCAGATCGTAGAGTTTGTGATATAGTTGTCGTGGACATACGGCTAACTAAAGTGATGCAGAATCCCGCGATTCCGGCTGGGTAGGGTGATAGTACTAATGCCTGTGTGTGCTCAAATTTGGTAACTTTTCACTTCTTTGGCCGAAAATTTAACCATTCTGCTCTAAAGTGCACAAATCAGCGTTATTGACATTTTTAGATGTATTTAATTTTTTTCAGTTTTTTTAAAATTCGCATCCATATAAATAAGCTAGTGGGTGCATTAGCTTCGCTGACTTCTTCACATGTATTAGTTTCGACAGTCTTTGAAATAAGGAATATCATTTGATCAATCGGCTCCGGAGCCACCGCACTGATGAAGTGCAATTGCGATGCTGAATAGGAATGTATATGACTTAAGGGACCGAGAAATTCTTGTTCAGATAATTAATTCTAGTATTAAATTCGATATCTTCAAAATTTCCGTCACAAAAAATTTCTAAATTCCTACATTATTTAAGTAACTAGGGAAATAGGATTAGTAAAAGACGAAGGAAAGTAAAGTCAAATAAGTGCAAAAAATAGTAAATGGGAAGAATAAAATAAATAAGTTGCAAGGAAATATGTGATAAAAGGCATAAAATAAATAATTTCTAGAGAAATATATTATTTAATAAAAAAGCAAAAAGAAAAATGCTGGGAAATTTCTGTTCATTAAGCTGCATACATTTCTTTTAAGCGCTACAAGTGAAACTGGTCAATAATTTACTTGTGCTAGTGAATTTGTAAGTATTGGCAGAAAAACATCCATCGTTGTTTTTTATGCTTATTATTTTCCCTTAGTGCTTATTACTACATCTTTTTAAGCATGTGGAATTGCGACAGTTAACGGAAGCAATTTTTCAAACCGCTGTTTACCTGCTTACATTATTTGTCAAATATGTCTCATCCAGAGAATTTCCTGATTGGTCAACAAAAAACCTGGTCTCCTTAGTGCATTGGACAAAACTGTTTCCGGATCTGTACCAGCAGTCGAATCCAGTGGATACAGTTCTTTCAGTGTTCACTCGTCCTGATTATCTTTCGGTTGGAAAGTAAGTGGTTTTTTTTTTACTTTATCTATCACAGATTGGAGAAGAGGCGAAAAAATGCGGGAAAGATAGTTAATGTAGCCCTGAGGCGATAATTCTATTAAGTTAAAAATTAAATCCACCTAAAAGAAGTCAGAATTCCCACCGTACGCAATTCCTTTGAGAGGCGAGGACTTAAGGCATTTCAAAGATATTTATAGTGAGTTGGCTATTTCTTTCATCAGACAAGCTGCGAAGCTGGAACTTTGCAGGGATATTCTCTGTTCACGTTTGGTCTTAATTCAGGTTTAAGGTGAAATTCTATGCACGTAGACATAACGAATATTCAGTTTCATTGCAAAATCAAAAGCGAATACATTTTGCAGATCTCGTAATCCTCTTCAAACTTCCTTCAAATTTGCACTTTTAATTGGGCGAGCATTCGCCGAAAAAACACCGGTCTTTATGCAAAAAACTGATAACCATGTACGCTAGAGGTCCATGCGGCCCCATAATGCAACACTTTCGTCCCAGCCGACGCTCTTTCCCCTGTGTGCTGGAAAAGTTCAAAACACACCAGTATGAGTCTAAGTATTAAAATACAGCGCTGGGCATTTCTGCTGCTAGTGAT